CCTTTTTAGACATTGTTTTGTAGTTTTAGCGCGAGCGAAGCCGCGGGTTCTGCTAGTTATATATGTATATATATATATATATATATATATATATATATATATATACAAAACGATGGCAATTATCAATGATTTATGCGAATGAGAATCCATCCGCCTCTTTTACAAACGCCATCAGAGGACTACAATCGCATATTCTATCGATAAATATATACGAATAAAAAATATTATAGCTCCTTCGTAATAAAAGCCGACCTCGAATGTGGAAGTAGAAATAAAAAAAAATTATTCTTTTTATTTCCACCTGTATATAAAAGTTAAAGATAAATATCGAAACATGCCGAACAGTAGAGAAGGTTTATTACGTCGCCAATACACATTACAAATACGGTAACTTCTAACTTTCTCCAAAACCCTACATAAATAGAAAGATAAATAGAGCTGTTCCATTCATATTGTGCTGACTTATCTTATTTCTCCATATGGCTGTCAATATTTGATATCACTTTACTATTATCCCATATCACACTAACAAAAAACTTGCTATCAGCAGGGGAATATAACAAAAGGGGCCTCTTATGCCATTAGCCTGGTCATTAAACTGCCTTCGCGCAAGAGTGCACTCAGTTTCAATACGATGCCGCCGTAGATATACGAGGAGGAGCCGAGATCGGCAATATGACGATATTTAGCGGCTAGTGTAAAACCAAGATTAATACTTAACTTATTTAGTTGTAACAAAATAATATGTTAGTTTAATATAAAAATTAATTACTAATTTACCAACATTATTTTCTTTTTATGATACATCAATAGAATATATTTTATAAAAATTAACACTAAGCTTTAATTGTGGTGTAAATAAAAATAATACGAAAAGCTTATTAAGAATAAATTAGATTCATACATTAAATACTACATTTATGTTAAATTTGACTACGCTCGTTGAAAATTAATGCTATTTGCAGCAGCTAGAAATAATTACCAAAATAATTTTTAAAATTTCATGCTCTTTTTGTTTTATTGAGCTATAAACGCTTATGCTTAAAATATAATATTCTTAACAAATTTTTATTTTAATCAAGTTAAAAGCTTTAATTATAATAAAGATTTAGTTTATACCTATTAGCATTGCCCACGTCTCCGCCCGCGTTCAGCTGAAAAAAAACCAAATTGTTCGGTTTTACATATTAGTATAGTCTTACATTACAGCTTTTGTATTTCTTCTCAGAAATGAAATATTTTCCCGCGGTAAAAAATACCTTATATGTTAAACCGGATAACCAGCTATCATCATACCAAATTTCATCTAAATCCCTCCAGTGGTTTTTCCGTGATGTGGTAACAGACAGACAGACAGACAGACAGACAAAAATTCTAAAAACTATAGATTCGGCCTCTGTATCGATAATAGAGTCTATTTCAATGAAAAATATTTAATGTACAGATTCGGTTTAGTTACAATTTTATTATATGTATAGATTGACGTTAAGAGTAAATTCAGAGCTTATAATTAAATCGATGGCCACGTAAAATGAAACTGTAAAGTGTAGAGAAAACTGCTTTCTCGAGTGTTCCTTTATGAGGCAATTAATTGCTTGCACTGTGGCTTCGTCGATAAACCTAAACATGTACTGGACATTTAGAGTTTGCTATAGAAGCATTTACCCTAAGTTTACATTAGGAATTCAGTTGGTACATAATTTAAATACAAAAGTAGAGTATTACTTTTAACTATCTCTAAGCAGATGATTGGATACTACGAAATACATTAACTTTAATAGTAACTACCAGCTTTCATTTTGCTGGGAGTTTAAAGATCAAGAATGAATATATTTTATAATATCTTTACTATATTAGTACTTCCTTCATTATGTTGGTGGAGAATTTTAGTAATTTTCGAAAGATGTGTGAGTCCGCCAACGCGCATTTGGCCAGTATGGAGGTCCATGCCCAGCTGTGGGAGTTTAGGAAATGCTAATATTTCTATTAGATTTTATCTTTGAGTTTTAAATCAATTAATATTTTTTTATTATTTATATCATATGACCTCATCAGTTTGAATACGACACAAGATAAAAGTGACCATTTTTTATATATTAATAGTTCAGTTATCAAAGGAGTTAATAATAATATTACATTAAAATAAATTGGAAAATATGGCAATGGCAATATAATATTTATAATGCGAAAGTATTTTTATTCATTTTAACAGATTTTTATTAACTTCACCTGTATCTATTTATCTATGTGATAGAATCTTTGAACGCGATTTTCATCCAATTCAAAACTTCAGATTGAACTGAAACTTTGCACATTTACTCGTAACAAAGGACCGATGACAATACAATAATTTATATTTTTTTCGAAATTGATCTCCTAAGGGGGTACAACAGGGGATGAAAGGTTGTATGAAACTCTGTCGTTCTTAATGTGAAATGCACGGAAAGTGGTATTTAGCTTTAAGATAAAAAATAAGAAATATATTTATTAGATTTTTCGGGGCGATAAAGTTTATATGGACAAAAAAAATATAATTTATGGTCAAAATTACTAGAAATTTCGTATTAATGCTCTTCAATATAATGAAATAAATACGCGTTCTAACACTTTTCGAAATTCATCCCATAACGGGGTAAAATAGGGGATGAAAGTTTCCATAAAACTTTCATCCCCTATTTTATCCCTAAATTTTTTATATGAAATCATGAAAAGTGGTATTTACCTTTAAAATAAAAAAATAAAAGAATACGTTTATTACATTTTTTTTAATTTATCGCTTATAAGGAGTGCTCGATATCAGTTGCTATAAATCCATTTAATTGGTACGATTTCTAAAAGTAGAGTGAGTATAAAAATATTGTACAAAGCACCCACGCTTTTTTCAAAATAACATTATTTTCTCGTTAGTCACTTTATTCTTATACAAAAAAATTTTTTTTTCTTTTAAAAGCGTGTTTTTTACTTTCTTAAACTATACGTTATGGTTAATATACATATAAAGCTAGTTTATTCCTACGACTCCGCTCGCATGGTAAGCGGTCAGAAATAAAAGAAAGAGCTAGTTCCCGTCTCCATGATGCAAGTTATATCTTTATCAATTTCCTTTGAAGCCTATGCAGCATTATAATTATAAAAAGTTAGCAAACAGACTAAGCTACTTTCACATTTCTAATATTACCACATTTTTGCATAAAATAGATCCTATATCAGTATATAAAATGTACCTATCACTAGTAAAAATATGTATATATATTACTTGAATGGTATCTAGTTGAATTCGTAGGGGTTATGTGAGAGTTATAATTTAATTTTGTATGTTTGAATGTACGCAACGTAAATGTGTCGTAGTTGGGTAGGTAAATGAATTGCGCACACCTAATTATATTAACTTTATTTCACGTCATGATGGGACGTGTTGCTTCGCGATATGAGATTCTCATTAAGCGGAATATGTTATATGCTTCATTCCAGTTTATAGATACCCCTATATATAAATATATAAGCAAAGTAATTAGCTTTCCAACGATAAAGAGAAATTCATTAATAGAACCCATTCAAGTTATAATAGAAATATTAATTTTATAAAATAAACCAATTCAATTTTTACTAAAAAGTATGAAAACATAATTAATATAGGATATAATAAATAATAGGATTATATTATATTATTATATTAATAATGGGATCCCATTTTTAATATAATAAAATCAAATAATAAATCTTAACATAACAGACAGGTAGATGTAGTAAGTTATTACTGTGTGGATCAAAATGACAGCTTAGATTAGTATTTTTCATTTTGCATTTGTAAAAGTATATAGTGGTAGTGTTGCTTAGTAATTTGTCTTTTTAAATAAGAGCAAACTAAATTAAAATTATTATCCTTAATTCATTTAACATTTTAAATTTTTAAATTACACATAGAACAATTATATGGCTTAAGTAATTAATACTATATTTTATATTTTTCTTTATGGTTATAAATATAATAATGGCAACACTAAATATAGATTACTAATTAATATTTTTAAAATTGTAATAATTATAATAATAACAGCAAAATTAAATAAATAATATTCCATATTCAATTATAAAACTAATCAAAATTATAAAAATAAGGTAATTGGTGCAATTTTCATTTTGTTAATTGTGGGTAGGCTGTCTGTAACAACTATACCTTCGAGACATGTAACACCTCAGTCTCTCCCGTGACCATGATTGCTGTAAAGCATTTGAAACGTCGAGAACCAAAAATCCAAATAAATCCGCGAAAAAATCCGAAAAGATAGTTTTATTTAAAATACAAACAAGATTGCTTAAAAGTTATTTGAAAGTTTTAATTTGCCATTAATCTACCCAATCTCTGGATGAAACATAATCATGGACGTAACGTGAACATTTTTAATACTTCCTTAAAACACTTCATCATGAGAGTACTAAAGACTGTTAGAGAAATAGCTACAATATTTCTTACTCGCAGTATTTCGGAGTTGAAGCGTGAAGTTTTGGTGTTATAGAGAGTTTTATTATACGGACCTCATTTCAGAAATTAAGATTAAGTTGTTACAAATCTAGAACTTATACTCGATGGCTTTATTTGACTGAAGATTTTTACCATGATGATTTCATTAATATTAAAGCAAACTTTACTGTAAACAATGTTCATTTTTAACCCCCGACGCACAAAGAGGGGAGTACTTTGTGTCTGTGTATCTGTCTATGGCATCGTAGCGCTCAAATAGATGAACCGATTTTATTAATATCCCTAGTCCTCTGTAGCCATCTTAAGAAGAGATGTACATGTAATAAAAAGTATCATGATATTTGTATGTGCTACGTTTTATCCAAATCTGTTCAATAATTTTATCATTAATCATTTTTATACAATGCAAGTAAATATTATAAAATCCATTATTGGTAATCGATAAAGTTCTCGTACAGTATGATCATGTATCTAAGTAAAATATTCAACTTATCTAAGCAATTTTGTCTTGTTGCAGCATCGCGTATTCGATACGAGATCACGAGCGGGAACATAGGCGGTGCATTCGCTGTCAAGAACATGACCGGCGCCATCTACGTGGCCGGCGCACTCGACTATGAAACTAGGAAACGGGTAAGTTACGTCTTCGCAGTCTTGACTAATCATGTTTGATAAGGGCAAAGACAGATACGCTCAAAAGTATAACTCGATCGAATAAAATAGTTAATATATAGGATTTATTAATATTTATTTCACGTACGTAAATATCAATTTTTAAATTACAAGTTATAACATCATATTGTTATATTCTAAAATACTATTTTCTTATATTAAGTTTGCTTCATTAAAAAAAAATTAAGTCGATTTATTGAATATAGCTACACTTATCCTCCTACAATGGAATCTAGAAAACAAGGATCTTCCAACGACGAAAGTCTGCTCTGAGCCTTACCTCTTTACCGGAGTGCATTGAAACATATAAACGTTTTCCACACGATTTCATGATATATTGTATCGTGGAGGTAACAAATATTGTCTTCTGACGTAGCATTCAATATGAACGTACAATGTGCACACGAAGTGATTTTAAAGTACCTAGTTTAATAAAAAAAATGATAAGTTTTGTTCCAGTTTTGAGTATATCATTAATGCTGTGGTGTGTTATAATGAAAATAAAATCTTCATTTCAAATTATATAGATTATTAAAATAATATTATTTTATTAATAACCACAGAGGTTTTCGCGTTTTTAATTTTAATTATTGTTTTCCTTTTTGAAAATAAATTTTAATTATCATTAAAACCATTTATTATTCAGTATTTATAATTGAATCATTAAAAAAACGTACATGATAAATATTTTTATATAAAAAATGTATATAATAACTTTAGTAATACGACAAAATTTAGCTGTTGGGGTGTTATTTCTACTTTTTTAAATCAGTCAGTTCGGTTAAATGAAAGATAGTAAATAGGTTTCGGTAAATCATAGCCTTTGCACAGCAACGGCCTGTGGCATGACACTTTGGCTGGAGCTCGATACCATTATTTCAACAAAATGGACCAAGGGCATAGGTCAGCCGTTTACAAATGACTATCGTCCTGGTGCCGGCGTTGGCACTTGCACAAAACGATCCATACGTATGCAATACTAACCTTTGCTTTTAAAGCAAAATATAAAATTTAGATACATTGAAATCGAAAAATGTTTCATTGTAACTTTTATTGGCCTATGTCGGAATATGTGCTGCGAACAGAAAGAGAATGTATCTGTAATGGTTGCTGTAACTAGTAACCACTATGTTATTTTTAGTATAACAATATCACTATGATTTCTAAAAAAAATAAGAGCTGATAAATTAACATATTCAGGGTTTTCGATAATAAAAACCATGGCAAGTATCCAATCCTCTGAGCATTCCATGAATTTCTTTACTATATTTTTTAAATATTTTTAATCTTTCTTGCCCTCGAGGAAGATTCATTGAAGTTTTCTCGGGATAAATAATTTAATCTTTAATACCCATTTAAGCAAGCCGGCGTAGTGCCGAAGGCTGGATCGCTATATTAAATTTGTAGGTCGCAGAGCTAAATAGATGGACACAAACCGGTTTATTTTACAAATTCCTTTTATTGTCATTTGTTACAGAAGCCATGATAAGAATGCCGATAAAAATTGTTAACTATTTCTTGAAAATCTTAATGAAAAATTAAATTCAAAGAAAATATTGATAAACTAAATCATAAACAAAATCCCCAAATACAACAATAATGACACAAAATGTAACCCAAATCATAAACTATATTTATGTCTTTCCGTCTGTTCGTTCACAGCAAGCTTTACAATAATAATATGACAAATATCGGGATATATGTCTAACAAACATTCAGTCCCTTTGCCTTCCTAAAGCAGTTTAATCCCTCTACGACCGCAGACACGCCGGCGTTACAGTTAACAATAGATTTCTTAGAAATTTAATTAATTTCTAAGAAATTTACCTGGAGGTGTTAAGGATTTTAAGTGGTAAATTACTATGGCGTAATACATGTTTAGTTTACTTGAGTAGTCGAATTTGCTCGATTAAACTATAAATTCTACTTATCCGTTTGAATTTATATACTGTTAATATGAGTACTAAATACAATATTACCCAGAAAATTAGTTATTCATCTAGTAATAGTAGGTGAGTTATTTAATATGAATACTACACATCCCCTCAGGATGTTTGTAAATTATAGGAGTACAAGTTAGAAACTCATATTATGATGACGTTACCGATGTTTAATTTACTTAGTTTTGGTTGTGAGGTAGATAATATTCTGTTTATCTAAAAGTAATGTAAAAGTATGTAATTTTACCAACTTTCTATTATATCACAAGCTTATATTTAACTGGCGACTCACATTGGCTTCGCTCGGGTTCCTCCCTAGGTACATTTTAATTTTTTTGAGCGGAACCCGAATTCTTTTACTGAAATAAAGTAGCCTAAGTTACTCCTTATAACATCAACTACCTACCAGTGAAAGTCCCATCAAAATCGGCCCAGCCGTTTTATAAATTAGCCGGAACAAACAGACAGATAGACAGCCAGACAAAAATTTAAAAAATTGTGTATTTCTTATAAATACCGTATATAATTCCATATGCATTTAGTAAAAAGCTGTTATTTTGACATAACAAACAAACACTTCAATATTATTTATCTGTAAATTATTAAAATGAGACAACAAAGATTAAAATGAAACAATTCCAAATTTAAATTGTTAAATTTTAAATTAGATAATGCGCCCGAAATGACTTCTTAAACAAACATCTCTCCTGCTTGGAAATAACGGAGTGACACCGACAGATGACGCCAATAAGTTGCTCGGGTCGTAACCACAAATGCCTATTGTTAAGATTCTACTTTATAAGATTTCATCATTTTAGTTTACTTATATTTTGCTGTAAATTGGTATTTTTCTGTCTCTAAAATTTAAATACTGGAATTTGCTTTACTTGATCAACTTCATAAACTTCTTGAAAGGTATTTTGCTGTCAATTTTGCTTTGAGTAAACTTTTTAAATAACTTCGTTCATCTTAATTATAATTACTTATCTTCAAAGTCAACAGAGTGTCTATCTATTATAGTCGTACATATTTTCGTCATTTAGAGACATTAATATCATAGTATTGTTTCACTAATTACTAATTAATATTCCATATTTGTAATTGGTCGTTTAGTTATTGAATTTGATTTATTTGTCTTAACTTGCGGCGGATGGGAACAGTACGAGTTGAAGTTAGCCGCTTCGGACAATCTTAAAGAGAACTACACGACCGTGGTGATTCACGTGAAGGATGTGAACGATAATCCCCCAGTGTTCGAGAGACCCACATATAGAACCCAAATCACTGAAGAAGATGACCGCAATCTTCCCAAGCGAGTGCTACAGGTCCGCTTCGAGGCGATAAAAAGGCCTTATTTGATTCTTTTCCAGTCACCGCTTTGAGGCTTAAGCTTCCAAAGGGACGCATGGGGTGACATTTGCCGATCTGAATTGACATTTTTATATTTTTTTTTTTTTCATTTGCATGGCATGGGTTTTCTTGTGTCGTTTTGATGTAGTGCCGTTTTAGTGCTAGTGTTAGAATGTTTTTAGTTATTTATTCAACATAATTTGTTGTTGTTTTGTTTTCTTTTTATTATTAATATAAATTAAAACAAATACATACATACAACTCTAGCTTTTATATTTTTTAATATATTTTTTTAATTTATTAATGAAGTATGCGTACATTTCATTAATTATATTAGGAGTGCTCTTAGCCTATAGCGCTCTTATAATTCGGCCCTTTGTTCCTTATTAAAGGAACGTAGAATGAAAATGTCATTCACACACGTGTTAACACGCAATGAAGAACCAAATACTACACAGTAGGTAACAGTTGATGAACAAAGTTTTATTATATATAGTCTAACATCAAGTAATAGAAATTGTACCATTATTAAATAACATGAATATATCTAATTCCTATTTCATGTGACACAAATTCCAACATATTAGTTACCTTGAATGGTTCGATAGAACCTTTATTTGTTTTATGGTAAAATATCAATATTTTACAATCAACGTAATTGTAACAAAAACATAAGTAAATGTTGTGAAATTCACCGAATGGGAAACGTGTAGCCAGCACAATACATCGCGTATTATTCGTTGAAATGGCAAATATAAAACTGTAACAGAAGCGTCTTATCGCCTTTGAAAAATGGAACATTGCATAGTTGGCTCTACTGTATCGAAACAATATACCTTACGTTTAAATAAAGAAAAAAATACATAAATATTTCGAAAGCTACATTTAGGTAGATATATATTTCTCGTAATAGAATACTAGTAAAAAATGTTATTTATACATCCGCTAATTTAAATTTACTTATCATAAGATATAATTTATATTTTAATCTATAAGAAATTAAATGTCAAATAAAACATTGAAAAAATATAAAGACCTAAAAAATATTTACGACTTAGGCATCACTTAACATTTTATAAAGAATATAAAATATCAATTACCTGACAGCGATTTTGTTTACAATGTTATTTTATTTCATGATTCTTTTTATTTTATTTCATAAAATACATACATATTATTTTAACATACATAGTTTATTTTATTTTTTCTACAAACTTTTGTTATTTAGAGTACGCTCTCAATTAAGCTATAGATTGCACCGGCTGTTTCACGAACTCTTATTAAAATATTTTCATTTAAAAATATAAAAAATCGAACAAGTTCGTGCAGCAGCTAGTTAATTGCATGGGCATGTCCTAACGCGTGCGTGTGCGCAGTACGAGCTGACGTTGGTGGCCTCTGACGGGCGCAACGAGAACTTCACACGCGTCGTGGTTCACGTCTTAGATATCAACGACCTCCCGCCCCGCTTCACACGCAGCGCCTACGTCACTCAGGCCCTTGAGGAAACTGGCCCCTACCCCCACTCCCTCATACAGGTTTTGTTTGTTTTGTTTTTATTTGTTTTTCGTTATATTTTGTTAGTTATTCGACTATATTTATTCCTGGTGGCGAACAATTATAATTTATAAAAAAAACAATCCTACTTTATATATTTTTCTGTTTTTCCAATAATAATATATTTTTTATGTTATCTTCTCTTATTTATAAAATCCTTACCATACAATTTATAAATATCAATGCAGCTTAACTAAAGTAAAATTAATTGAAATATCCTCTTTGATTCTACAGCTTTCAAGTAAGTGGATAAATATTATAAATCGCTTGGGTTTTACGCTCGATTTCAGCTTTTTGCATTGATTTGTAGAGTTTCCTTTTAATTAATTATATTGCATGTTCAATACCTGCGATAGCGCGATAGAATGGCTTTTAATCTTTGTCTTTTGTAGTGTATTTATATACAAACAGTTCTTCACATTAACACCTCAGGTCTCTTATACTTGGCCTTTGTTCGTCTTGTTTACTTAATTTAATTAATCGCCTTTGTAAAGTCTTTCCCAAGCACAAGACTAAGTAACGGATTACGTTTAATGTCTTTTCAAACTAATTTACATTAGATAGGTAATGTACATACTTACAATGAATTAATAATTGTTAATTATTTTGATGAAGCTAAAATATAATTAAATTATAATTATTGCATATTTTTATTATACTTAAGTATACTTAGTTATAATTTTAGTTTGTTTGTGTATTCTAGATTTTTATAAATTTTAAATATTCTAGAAAATTTTGAAAACGGCGTTGCTCGCAAAAAAATTAGAATGTCCATTAAAAATATATACAATTTTATTACATTTTAAATATCAAAGAGAAGGTCGACCGTCTATCATGACGACATGATTTTTCTTATAATTGGTCTAAATTCGCAAATAATCCAAGTAATTACACAAACGTCGACCCTCTTCATTTCTATAGCACTGTTCAGGCCAAATCATTACGTCCTATTTTCTTATCTTATGTCCAATAGAAATTGACATTTTATAAGGATAAATCACAATTTTATTTCAATCATTGTTATGCCTACACAATAATAGTAAAATAATAAATTAACTATTACAATTTAAAGTACATAATATTATATGCTATACCTAAATAGAAGAAATATAGAATGTGTCAATTTAAATTTGTCCTACATTATATCAATCTACCCCTAACTCTTTGAATATCACCCTGAAAGTTTTATTTCGGATTTGGCAAAAAAAGTACAAAGTTTTCGTCAGTTGTTGGGGAACAACCGCTGTCACACGCCGATGCAAACAATCTGCCGGTGCTGGCGACTTCATAACTTGTAAAACTTTTGGTAACGAGTAACGTATCTGGTAAAATAATATACCTATCGTATTTTAAAAGTTTCTATAATGTTATAATCATCTTCTTAATTTAAGATTAATATGTAAAATAATTCGAATTCTATAGTGACGTACCAGGAGTATGACGTGGAATGTTCTTCTGGCATTTTTTTAAGAGAGATATTTTAATATTATTACGTTAACAACGAAACAAGGGTCAAGTCTCTAACAAATAAACAATTTGCCGAAAGTTTTTAGCATAATATTTTCTTCAACAATTTTATACAGTCTACTAAATTCACAAAACCATAGAGATCTCACATAATGATACTTAAACAAATTACTAAAATGTAATAGTACCAGTTATTATACTGTATTTTGTTTTAAATTGTACATGTATATGTATATATATACGAGTATATACCTACTAGAGAATAAATTTTTAATTAATTGATACCTTAATTTATGCATGGCTTTAATGTATAGTATCATTATATATGGGGAGCTTTTATATTCATTTTTATGACAGTAAAGATTTAAAACTATTAATTTTGTATAAGTTCCCAAACAATTGAATACACTAGTTTGTCATGTTAAGTTATACTAATTTTTTAATCGTATATTTATCGTACTAAAATTTTCTATATATAAAAACAGGTTACGGCTACCGACGGCGATAAGGACAGACAGCAGAACATTGTGTACTTTCTTACTGGTCAAGGCATAGATCCTGACAATCCATCAAACAGTAAATTCGATATCAACCGAACTACTGGAGAAATTTTTGTATTAAAGGTAAATATTATTGAATTTTAAGATATAAATACTTAGTGGCAACTTCCAGTGTGCTCTAGATGATAGGTAATTATAATTAAGAAATTATTAATGTTTAAATATATTTTTCTAGCCTTTAGATCGTGACCAGCCTAATGGAAGGCCGCAATGGAGATTCACTGTATTTGCTCAAGATGAAGGCGGTGAGGGATTAGTAGGCTACGCCGATGTTCAAGTTAATCTCAAAGATATAAACGATAATGCACCCATATTCCCACAAGGAGTATATTTCGGCAATGTTACAGAAAATGGAACTGCGGGTATGGTCGTAATGACAATGACAGCTATAGACTATGATGATCCTGCTGAAAGTAATAATGCGAAATTATGGTACTCTATCGAGAAAAATGTTATTGAAGAAGAAACAGGATCCCCTATATTTGAAATCGAACCCGAAACTGGTGTTATTAAAACGGCTGTTTGTTGTTTAGACCGTGAAAGAACACCTGATTACTCTATACAAATAGTAGCTTCGGATGGTGGGGGGCTAAAAGGGACAGGGACAGCATCTATAAGAGTAAAAGACATAAACGACATGCCCCCTCAGTTTACCAAAGATGAATGGTTTACAGAAGTTGATGAAACTGATGGCACTAATTTACCTGAAATGCCAATCCTTACAGTTACTGTTCATGATGAAGATGAAACTAATAAATTCCAATATAAAGTTATAGAGAATAGTGGATATGGTGCCGATAAATTTACGATGGTCAGAAACAATGACGGTACTGGGTCATTAAAAATTGTACAGCCACTAGATTACGAGGACCAATTACAAAGCAATGGCTTTAGATTCAGAATACAAGTTAATGATAAAGGTGAAGATAATGATAATGATAAATATCATGTAGCTTATTCATGGGTACTTGTAAAGCTAAGAGATATCAATGACAATAAACCACAATTCGAACGTGCAAATATAGAAGTTTCTGTATATGAAAATGCAGAAGTAGGCAAAAGCCTTGAGACATTTAAAGCCACAGATCCTGATCAAAGTGGTAAAAGTAAAGTTTCATATGCTATAGATAGATCATCAGACAGAAAACGACAATTCTCCATAAATCAAGAGGGAACTGTAAGTATACAAAGGTCGTTGGACCGGGAAGACACACCTAGACATCAAGTAAAAATATTAGCTATAGATGATGGAGTTCCTCCAAGAACAGCAACGGCGACGCTTACTGTTATAGTGCAAGATATTAATGATAACGCGCCTACCTTCCTTAAAGATTATAGACCTGTTTTAACAGAACATATTACACCTAAAAAAGTTGCTGAAATATTAGCTACAGATGATGATGATAGATCAAAGAGCAATGGCCCCCCATTCCAATTCAGGCTTGACCCTGGTGCTGATGATATAATAAGGGCTTCATTTAAAGTGGAACAAGATCAAAAAGGTGCTAATGGAGATGGTATGGCTATCGTTTCATCTCTACGATCATTTGACAGGGAGCAGCAGAAAGAATATCTTATTCCTATTATTATTAAAGATCATGGTAATCCAGCAATGACAGGAACTAGTACGCTTACAGTAGTAATCGGGGATGTAAATGACAATAAAATGCAACCTGGATCCAAGGAAATTCTTGTATATAATTACCAAGGTCAAGCGCCAGATACTGAAATTGGGAGAGTTTATGTTTATGATTTAGATGATTGGGACTTACCGGATAAAAAATTCTTCTGGGAAAGTTCGGAACATCCCAATTTTACCTTAAATGAAGAAACAGGTATGATACAAATGCGTCATAAAACAAGAGAAGGTAGATATCACTTGAAATTTAAGGTGTATGACAGAAAACATACACAAACGGACGTACCAGCTAATGTAACAGTTTATGTTAAAGAAATATCACACGAGGCTATCATAAACTCGGGATCAATACGAATATCGGGAATATCTGATGAAGATTTTATTCGAGTTTGGAATTACAAAACCTTAAGTGTCTCAAGGAGCAAATTAGACATATTTAAAGATAAATTAGCAGACCTACTTAATACTGAACGTGAAAATATTGATATATTCAGCGTTCAGCTAAGAAAGAAACACCCTCCTGTAACTGACATTCGTTTCTCAGCACACGGTGCTCATTATTATAAGCCCATTCGATTAAATGGCATTGTACTTATGCATAGAGAGGAAATTGAAAGAGCTGTTGGAATTAACATAACTATGGTTGGCATTGACGAATGTCTTTATGAAAATCAGATGTGTGAAGGATCGTGTACAAATGTGTTAGACATTAGTAACTTACCATATATGGTGAATGCTAACAAAACTGCTCTAGTTGGTGTAAGGGTTGATGTTATTGCCGAATGTACATGTGGCGCTAGAAACTTCACACAAGCAGAGACTTGTCGCAATTCCCCTTGCTATAATGGTGGCAGATGCATTGAAGGTAAATATGGTTTAACTTGCTCTTGTCCACCTGGTTATACAGGACCACGTTGCCAACAGACATCGAGAAGTTTCAGAGGCACTGGTTGGGCTTGGTATCCGTCACTAGAAATGTGCGATAATTCTCATCTCAGCTTTGAATTCATAACAAGAAAGTCAGAAGGAGTTTTACTCTACAATGGACCAATAGTACCACCAGAACCAGAAGAAATAGTAGTTTCAGATTTTATATCTGTTGAATTAGAAAGAGGAAATCCAAGACTCTTAATTGATTTTGGGTCCGGAACTCTAGAATTAAGAGTAAAAACAAAGAAATCTTTAGATGATGGCGAATGGCATCGCATAGATATATTTTGGGATACTGAAAATGTAAGGATGATAGTTGATTATTGTAAATCGGCAGACATTCAAGAAATGGAAGATGGTACTCCACCGGAGTTTGATGACTCTACTTGTCAAGCTACTGGTACTATTCCACCATTTAATGAGTACCTAAATGTTAATGCCCCATTACAAATTGGAGGATTGTATATAGAACATTTTGACCCTACGCATTATCATTGGCAGTACATGCCAATTGGCAAGGGTTTCGATGGATGTATTAGAAATTTGATTCATAACAGTAAATTATACGATTTGGCTCATCCTGGTTTATCACGAAATTCAGTAGCTGGATGCCCTCAAACAGAAGAAATCTGTAACCAAGCCGATACTACATCAAGATGTTGGGAGCACGGTACTTGTGTTGGTAGTTTTTCTGAAGCTAGGTGTCAATGCTTGCCAGGATGGACAGGCCCATCTTGCAATTTACCAACCACGCCCACAAGTTTCAGACCTCAAAGCTATGTTAAATTTGCATTAAGTTTCGAACCAGATAGGTTTAGTACACAAATACAGTTAAGATTCAGAACTCGTGAACCTCATGGAGAACTTTTTAGAGTTAGCGATCAGCATAATCGTGAATATGGAATATTAGAAGTAAAAGATTCGCGATTACATTTCCGTTTTAATTTAAATTCCTTACGTACAGAAGAACGTGACGTTTGGTTAAATTCTGTAGCGGTCGACGATGGTCAGTGGCACATCGCTAGAGTGAGTAGATATGGAAGTGCCGCTACGCTAGAAATTGATGGCGGTGAAGGAAGAAGATATAACGAGACGTTTACATTTGATGGCCATCAGTGGCTTTTAGTCGATAAACAAGAAGGTGTGTATGCGGGGGGCAAAGCAGAATATACTGGTGTGCGGACTTTTGAAGTATATGCAGATTTTCAGAAAGGTTGTTTAGACGATATCAGATTAGAAGGGAAGCATCTACCGTTACCTCCGGCAATGAATGGCACACAATGGGGCCAGGCTACTATGGCCAGGAATTTAGACAGAAATTGTCCGTCTAATAGTCCCTGCATTAACGTTCACTGTAACGAGCCATTTGAGTGTGTCGACCTGTGGAACGAATACGAGTGCACGTGAGTATCTATTTTATATGAATAAATGTATGTATATAAATACATAAATAAGCTAGTTAAACAAAAAAGTTAATATTTCAATTCTTTAAAAATTATTCTTTAAAATTTGTTTAATTTAACTTTAAATCTTGAAACCTTTACTTAGATACATATCAGCTATTCTATTGCATTTAATATTATTGAAAATAAATTATATGAATCGAAGTTGAATTTTATTATTCTTCAAAGTTTCATTTTGTTATTAATTTGACTATTTATATTTTAGGCGCGCACTGAGTTTTCTTTGTATAGTTTATTTTATTACATACCTATAGCATTTTTTAATATCTCCTATAATATAATAACATTTAATATACCTACGCTTTCTAAATCTTTCGCATTCACTTTCACACATTATCACGTACATGTAATAATATCTTTCAATATATATATACTATTAACATATGTACGTATATGACTATATTACAAACATTTAATTTATAATAATATAGTATGTTTATTCATGTGTAGTGTATTAACATATTGTCGTGTCTAGTTGCGGTGAGGGTTTGGTATTATCTGCGGACGGCAAGGGTTGCGTAGACAAGAACGAGTGTCTGTACTTCCCGTGTCGCAACGGTGGATCGTGTGTCAACCGAGAGCCGGGCTATCGCTGCCATTGCCCCGAGGGTTTCTGGGGTGAAAACTGCGAACTCGTTCAGGAAGGACGCACGCTCAAACTCAGCATGGGCGCCCTCGCGGCCATCCTCGTCTGCCTTCTTATTATCATGAGTGAGCAATATTCAAAATGGGCTGGCGAATCCATGGCATGCGTATCCCATTAGATTAAATGGTCTTAACTCATTTCATAGAATATTTTCACTTTCACATTTAAATTAGAATTTGACACGTATTGCAAGGTTCGCTATCCCTGTCTGGTCTAGCGCATCCCACGTCTCACTTCACCCTCTCGCACTCATTATCTATCATATATATAAAGTAGTGCATGTTCTATGTTTATGGGGGGCTCAGTGCGCGTAGCTCGTTTGTGAACGAGAGGTAAAGCGCACAATGTATAGGTGTCCGGGAGGATCGACTCGCGCTGGCGGCACATGCGTCAATGTGAACGAGTGTCTCCACAACCCCTGTCTGAATGGCGGCACATGTTTGGACCGTGAACCAATTCGACGTTATGACTGCATTTGCCCCTTCGGTTACACTGGACACGATTGCGCACTGGAACTACTCGCATCAGGAATCATCATGCCCTCCAGAGATTTCATTATAGCTATCATTGTCTGTTTGTTTTTGCTTTTAGGTGAGCACTTTTATTGTTTTGCATGTTTTCTCATACCCGTCTCGTGTATCTAAATGTTTAATGTTCACCTAATTATAAAATAAAACTGATTAGTAGTAGTCAATCATCAATAGGATTTCATAAACATCTAAGATTATTTCCTAATACTATCTAGTGACTAGAAAATGTATCACAAAACGTTGAATGAATGCTGTGGTTTAGTTACCATCAATTCTATCGAGTCTAGAAATGCACGTATAGATAATATAGACGTTCTAAAAGCTCTATCCGCGTTCGGTTGCATAAAGCGTAATTGATCAAATCGTTATAGACAGCTTCGTAAAAGGGTTCTTTCGTCGATAAATTTTATATGAATATGTGTAGGTACAAAGCATAACAAAATCTACTCTGTAATAAAAATATATAAGTATAATTAATAATTTGAAAATAACTCATTTAAGAAAATTAAATATTTCATTTGTTTGAATTTCTATGAACTTAATAAATTCATATTACTATGGATATATTCAATATATTTTCTGTAAAAGAACCATATCTGTATATTTCTTTATTTGAAGGCAAAAGTATTCTGAGAATAAGACTGTTAAATGGAAGCAACGCAATATCTTAAAAACATTTAACCTTAATAACAATTTAGCTACGAATTGCGCTGTCTTTTACATTAGTCATATTAAAAACGGCACAAATTCTACCAGACAATACTTAATGTTTTGTAAATAAAAATTTAGGCATTAATATTGTACATTTAAAATCTAGGCTCAAAATTAACTTCTAAATGGGCCCTATTTTGGATGCTGTGTTGGAGGAGCGCCAGCCGTTATTATAATTCTGTGTTACAAATCCACTTATAAAGCGCTACGTAAATCATACTTGAGCGCTCGTGGGATCAAATTTTCAGTTGCGATGGTAGCTTCCGATAAACCTCGTATTTGGTAAATGAACACTAATGCCGCTAGTTTCTATTTTAGCAGCTCGTTTATATGCCAGAGTCATACACTCATATATTTGCTTGAATCGTTATCTTGTATTGGCTACAATCGAAATTGTTTGAAGCGTAATTTTCCGTATTGTACGAGTATAACCCGTACATTAATGATACGGTACAGAAGTAAAATGATCTGTAATTTGTTAAAGCGACAACGATTAAGTTTGATTTTAATTGAATTAATTTAACAGTATTGGTGCTGGTATTCGTGGTGTACAACCGTCGTCGCGAGGCTCACATCAAGTATCCAGGACCAGATGATGATGTTCGTGAGAACATTATAAATTACGATGATGAAGGCGGTGGCGAAGATGACATGACCGCGTTTGATATCACTCCCCTGCAAATTCCGATTGGCGGACCTCTCCCTGATCATGTTCCGGCCAAAATGCCATGTAAGATTTGACATCTTTTTATACTATTGTCTGTAGTTGTTTAGTGTAATTTTAAAGGTTTATTTATTTATTCTATTTTTTTTATAATACAATGATAATGAATAATACTATTTTTTGGATACTATATCATTTTCGTCACTATATATCCATGTCCATAGGTAACAGCTGCAAATATCGAAAACATCAAGACAAAACTTAACGTGGTAAATTTTTCGCTTTGCGTTATTTTTTATTTATATTTATTCAAACTTTTAACTTCTGTTTCAATTTATACGACTTTCATTTTATATCTCACTGGAGTTTATACATATTTTATTTGAAAAATAAATCAAAATTCAGAACTTTGAAAGTGCAAAGATTGCAATATATTATGCGCGTATGAATAAATAATAGTGAAACCAAAATTTCAAAAAGTATTAATTATTGGTTTGAAACCACACTTCGTTGATTTATAATACTTAATTTAAATTTCACTCGGTATTTGTTTTAGATTATGTTGATTTTTCTCTAAACTAAGTTGAGATAAAAGGCTTGAGAAAATCGCAAACATTTGTTACTTCCGTCTGTCAATCCTCTATAGTGTCAATTCAATGCACTGTTAATAACGACAAGCTGGAGGAAAATCTGTATATTGTAATTCAGCTGATCCGCTAAATGGGAACAATAAAATTTGAAAAAAGTAAAGACTTTGCTGCTTTACCGAGACAGAAGTATTTAATTTGCACCAAACTGCCATTGTCCGCTTCTCCCGGCTCTAAAAATTAAGGCTGTTATCAAATCCACTTTAATTCTTTAATCTTATGTTAAAGAGCTACTTTTCGAATATTGTTGAACGAAAATTGCGAGTGTATTTAGATGTAGTCCCGACAGGGTAACATAACTACATTAAGACTATCTTTGCTAGAATGCAATATCCTACTAATATAATATTATAAACTAGCAAACCAAACTCTTAGGTTTTACATATTAGTATACTCTTACAATGCAGTTTTTTTTATTTTTTCTCAGAAATGAGATATTTTCCTGCGGTAAAAAGTATTCTATATGTTGATCCGGATAATCAACTATCATCATACCAAATTTCATCAAAATCCCTCCAGTGGTGTTTCTGTGATGCGGTAACAGACAGACAAAAATTCTAAAAATTTGATTCGGCCTCTGTATCGATAATAATGTCTATTTCAATAAGAATTTCCAAAAAATATTTAATGTAAAGATTCGGCTTAGTTACAACTTTATTATATGTATAGATAAATATGTTGGCATATGTTAGTAAAAATGTATGAGATTCAATCACGCGTAAATCACTGAACAGATTTTGATGTAATTTGGTATACAATTGGACCTATCCAGGACCGAACAGGATCTGTCGTGGACTAGCACATACATAGATAGAATACTTTTCATCCCGGTAATACTTCCGGAGTAGGTATTATTAGTTTCTAATGTTTCTTGAATAGAGCTTTAGTTCTGAACTAACGCTGTCAAATAACGTAATAATATCAAATTTTCTGTTGCGATAGTATCTTCCGATAAACCTCGTATTTAGTATTTTAGCTTTGTATTTTAGTTTATCCACCAATCTCAGACGTTAATTATGAAAGTAAAGAAAAAAAACATTTATCACGCAGTCCAAGCCGCTGGTAGAAACTAGTGTGTAGTAAAAACAATAATATTTTTGTTTAGATCCATTGATGGGAGTGGGGTTGGGCGTCGGTCCGATGGTTGGTGTGGCGCCCCCAGTGGGAGTGCCTCTCCCAGGGGAGACGAATGTGGGCATGTTCATAGAGGAACATAAGCGGCGCGCGGACAGCGATCCCAACGCGCCGCCCTTTGACGATCTCCGGAACTACGCGTATGAGGGTGGCGGTAGCACTGCTGGCTCCCTGTCCTCGCTTGCTTCCGGTATGTAACAGTTATTAAAGTTATTATTTGATATAATATTATAAAGAGGTAAAGTGTGTGAGGTTGTGAGTTTGTGACGTTGTAGGAGGTAGTCTCTGGAACTACTGAACCGATTTAGATGAAATTTGGTAACAAGATAGCTTGAGATACTGGTAAGGACATAGGATACTTTTACTATTTTACCCCGAAAATCCTCCCTTAGGGGGGGTGAAAATGGGATGAAAGTTAGTATGGGGAATCAAGTTATTTGATACATCCCTTGTACAAATAACAAATAATATCTTTACTAGTATTCTTAAATAAATTTAAGTAAAATATTTTACAAAAGCAATTACTTAAGAATTTTTTTTAAGGAATGTGTAGTAAAGTAAAAAAAAATTTTCGTCATAGACACATTTTACTCATTTTTCTGTTTATCTGTTTAATGTACCGAACTTCAGAACTTTTTTAAATTTTCTTATTTTTATATTACAAGTACTTTTAAGATTATTTGAATAATCAAAAAGTTGGGTGTGCGTTGTGTATGTAGTAAGATTTTAGGTTTTAATCAATCTAAGTAAATATCATTAGAAAAAAAAGGATTTTTTACATAATATTCGCAAGCTAAAGTTAACTTCATTGGAACGAATCGAGTTTGCAACGCAGAAGCTAATTATCCTCTCTTCCGTTCAACACTTGTTTAACTTTTCGAGCTTTGTCGAGCTTAGATGAAACTTTCTTTATAGACCTTCCATACAAATGTCTTATATCTAAAGTTTCTTTTTTATTGTAGATCATAACGTAAGACTTAAATGCGTATATTATTACTATACTTTATTGTCTTTATATTTGTCAGAATGCTCATATAAATATAAAGTATATCTTATGGCTTAAGAAATATAAACGGTTGAGAATAGTTTTTTATTTCTATAAGAAGTAATAGTATATACCTATATACAGATAATAAATAAAAAAGTACTAAGCTAAATTTTTATAGCTTTGTAAACTCTTGCCGAATTTTGTGGAAAATTAAAGACGGGCTCTCAATAGAACTTACTAAACAACAAACAAGTAAACAAATCACTATTATAAATACGAAAGTTTGTGTGTATGTGTATAATGTGTATGTTATTCCTTCATACTAAAACGGCTGGACAGATTTGGATGAAATTTAATACACAAATAAACTATAACTTTGGTAAATACATTTTCACATACCACCTGCATACAGGTTACACGGGACTTACCGGCTTGAAACCACGCTACCCACTAAAACCCAACTGAACAAATAAATTTTAACCTGCACTAACATAGAGGCTATTGTTAGTAAAAAAATTTGCAATAAGGTGGCTGCTTGTAGATAGATAATATTTTAAATCCAAGAAGAGGGACTCCTCCAAGCGAATGAATCATGAATTAACAAAGCATATTATTCTACAGGAACTGACGATGAAATACACGAATATGACTACTTGAGCGCGTGGGGGCCTCGGTTCGACAAGCTGGCAGACCTGTACGGGCCTGATCTCGACGAGCAACTGTAGACCCTACGAAGCGCTGAAGAGTCAATTGTATCCCGTTATTGACTTAGTGGTTGGAGGATCTTATCAAATCATAGCGAATTTTATACTTTGATTAAATGAGTAAACCCGGGCTGTAACGAAATTTGAACTCAAACTAAATTTTAACCGACTTCAAAATAGAAGATACTCTATTCCGTTTTCTCTTACGCAATATTTTCGCCAAGTGTGAACTGATTTTTTATGATGATAACTTACTTAAGGCTGGTGTTAAAGGCTCTCAGAATGTTTTTGAAGTCGGCGTAATTTATAAGTAATTTTAACATTTATTTATCAATGAACTTTTTTACAACAATAATGTTAAATTGTATGTTTAAAATATAACTATGTTAGTCCTTCGATAATAACAACGAAGACTTTGTAAATAGATCTTCAAACCACTGAAGCCGCACTGGACCCATTCCCTCGGTTGATGGATCCGCGAACGTCATCACTCGTACGCCGTGACTCGCGTTTCTTATCGATTTTCTACGAGTTTATTTTATACAATAGAAACTGTTAGCTTAAGTATCTATACGTTAAGGCATATATACGTTCGATTGCGTAATTTTTATAAGGTCTGAGCCGGTATCTTCACCAAATATTTGATATAAGTTTTATTCGAGTTAGCCATATTACGAGTCAGTATTTTATCGGAAGTCGAGATAAGTGGATTTCTGCCGGAGGGCCAGATGTGATTCTGATTCGTGGGTGTTTGTAGATAGTGTGCTATAAATGTGAATAATTTATACGAGTATTTTGTAAGTCCACAGCTTTATGTATCACTTATGTACGGCCCTTCCGCATCAATCGACGTCTACCTACTATTGAAATACGTTATATTTTATATTAATTATAGTTACGAAATGTCCCATTGGACGTCGAGTACGTAACGCTCGTTCGATATGTCAAATATTCACGGGGGATGTACATACAATAAACTAACCAACTACCCCAATTATCTTAGTTAAATGTAAAACAATTTACATTCTACTCGAAAATTCATCGTAAGTGAACTGTACAGTAACTGGTGTTCCTCTCCGAGTCTCCATGTAGCGTTAGACGTAAAATTAGAATATCTGTGAGTCTACGGTCTACTCGTAATAGTAGCTAATTTATTGATAGTTCCCATTGGAGAGTCTCTTTGGAAGTGCGTGCGAGAGTGAGAGGTGTGTGTGGGGAGTGCAATGAGGCAACGCGTCGCGCGGCCGCCGCCCAGCGTGGCGTATGTAATTGGAAACTATATAAGAGAACTATTTAATGTAACAGACTCAATAATATACTTGAAATATTTATTAGAGAGATAAATGGATTTACATTTAAGCAGTTCTTTTGAAAGTATCTAAGTTTCCGAGTGGCCGCGCGACGCGACGAGAGTGCGTGTGAAAGTGCCAAGGGCGAGTCGGCGCAGGTACCGACCGTAGAATTAAGTGTTTGCACTTTATTTATTCAATATATTTAAAATATAAATTTAGTCGCACCTAGGAAAATATCAATAACTTACTAAGAGTGTTGTGCTAGAATTATTCCATCGATTTTGACGTGAGATAGTTATTGCGACCGTTAGAAGTCACTAATTTAACGCTAATTTATAAGAATTTATAGTAAAATAATTAATTAAATTACAGGTTATGAAACTGTCTCACTTCGACGTCGAACTAGGATCGGTGTAAATTTTAGAATATACTGTATTGTGTTAAAATGACTGATTTTATTATGTGTTTGAAGCCTAAGATTTTGTAGATTCGGTTGTTTAATTATATAGACTTTGAATATCTACTATAAGAACACCTCTAGTTTGCACTCGAAACTACTCAAGTCTCAATAATAAAGCAATTCTCGTTAATTACTAATCGTGTAAGTAGAAGTTTAATAGCTGTCCGAGATCGACATCTATCTAGGTTTTATTATTCTTTTATAATATCATTACACTGCCAGTAATCGTATAGACGAATTATGATGTGACGAGGTTCGGTCCGTTTTTATATTTCAGTCTTTACGATAAATTAAGTTTTTTTGACTATTTATTATTAAATTATACTTCCTCCCCTCGCGACAGAATTGTGCATTTAAATGCACAGATTATTTCGGTTTATTTATAAAGCTCTGCGTTGTCTGAAATCGTGTACTTTAGAATTATAGATTTATATCTACCAAAGACTTTAATTATATTTTGTGTGTGCCGTGTCTCCCCGCAGAATATTGGTATCTTTAAAGATTTATATAAAAATAATATTTATTACATTTTGCCTTTAGATTTGATCAAAATATCTAGAAGCCAGATACAAATCCTTCTGTGTATGTAATATGTACATCACTATTGACTTCTAGAAAGAAATTGTTCACGCTTAGCCCGTCCCAGGGTTCGTTACCACGCTACTTGCACTATACTTTGATGACTTTACTTAAACATTGTACACTTAATTAAGACAGCAGAGCACAGAATCCCAGTACAAATTGTAAGGTGCGAAATCGTGTCGCAACCGACGCCGGTGCACGTAATTTTATTTTAGACATTAATATAATACCTACATAGTTATGTTTTGTTTCAACTGTGATTATTTAGTTGTACAACTCTGACGATTACATAAAAGAATGAATAAAATGTGAAAAAATGTATATGTTTCATTTAATTTTACCCTGATTCCAATATTTTTAGTTATCAGACTCTCAGCCTTACAGTAGACGACTAATATTCTCCATTATATCAATATAGAATAAAAAATATTAAGATTTATTACGCGATTGAACGCTCAGATATTATGTTCTTCCTATTTTTTCTTTTGTATTAGCGTCAATTTGGCTAAGCCCCAAGATTGGACAGCAAAAGACGATCATATATATATACATACATATAAATACACAGTTTAAAATAAACCAAGTGTATACAGTTTATTATAAAAATAAAGGCTGTTATTTATGCAAAAATATAATAATAAATAAACAAAGCCTTCCATGCATTCATATTCACAAACGTAACAAAAGCGTGATGGACGGGAAAATTATAGCAAAATTGTAAAGAATTTATATTCAAAATTGGACAAAAGCGATCCTGCATAAAGATATCGGCTTATTGATTTCAATTTAACATTGTTGGTTTGAAATGTATTTTAATTATTGTTTATTAACTTGAAATATTAATATATAGAAGTAAATATACGAAGTACGTCGACTGTTTGTGACTCATGCATTTCTTTACTCTATTCATCTGTTTGCGATGGAACTTTTGTGAGAGCATTGAGCGTAGTTTAGGAGTTAGGTTTGATTCATGCTTCTATTATCTTCTGTGCTTACTTCTATTTATGCTCATTCAATCAACCCAATTCCAAACTGGTACAGTTTTAAGTATTTTGGTTAATATAAAAGCCAAATAAATAACATCTAGAAATCTCGTCTGTGCTTTTCCATCCACTAAACTGATTTAACGGTTGGATGGATTACCAGTAAACAGAATCTGGCAACAATATTCTAACTTAAAATTATTAAAAGTTTTATTTCAATTGATAGCAATTAGATCAGAAATAGAATTACTTTAGTAGTTTTCAGCTTTGGCGAATTAGACCATTCGTCAGGTGTGAATACAGTAACATGGGAACTTAGACAAGTTGACATTCAATAATAATAAAAGTTTTAAGTGTATTGAGATTACAAAACTCGTTCTGTGGTAGAACCATAATATTATGTGATTCCCATTTTTTTTAGATTTCTCTTCTTCAACGATAATAGCTCATGCTATTATCGTTGAAGTAGAGAAATCACATGAGCATGATGGAGCTTGAAGATCTCATGATCTTCAAGCTCCATGTTTTGAAGCTCTTCATGATATAATAATAAAATTTATACATATTACACAGGTAGAATCTTTCTTTATTATTTTTTCCTGTTCTAAATCTTGCTAGATAATGAGTCTCCGTTGCGTAATCCTATTACATTTAAGTCCAGTTAAAAATCAAGCGTCTGCCTGGGACTCATAAATTTACATTCATATCAATTTATTCTTAATGTTTATAAATCCACAGAATTTAAATGTAATCATTACATTAATAAGTGCAAAAATTTATTTTTAATTCAAAAACGTGTCCTCACGAATGTTTCTTAATTTTTAATTTATTTACTATCATTTTGGATTTTCTTGTCATTATGCTACACGAGTTATGGTGCGTCCATACGATACAGACTTGGTACAAACTTTTGTCGTACAGACATCTTTACAGACTGAAGTTTTTAGAATTTTTGTCTGTCTGTCTGTCTTACCGCATCGCGGAAAAACCACTGGAGGGATTTTAATGAAATTTGGTATGGTGATAGCTGGTTATACGGGTCAACATATACGATACTTTTTATCGCGGGAAAATATCTCATTTTTGAGAAAAAATACAAAAACTGCAATGTAAGAGTATACTAATATGTAAAACCTAAGTATTTGGTTTGTGGTCATCTGAACGCGGGCGGAACCGCGGGAAATGCTAGTATAATATAATTCCCATATATGTATATTGTTAGATTAATAATCTTTAGCATTGAAGCCAAAAGATAAATAATTGACTTGAATAAAATTCAGCGATTTTACAAAACTGCTACTGGCACGCAATTTATTGCAATTACAGTCCCCTGTTTCTACAGGCAATATATTTTACATAAGGATTTTTCTCTTTTTAAAAAAGAATCAAAGTACTCTGCAGATATAGGTACCTACGGTAGCTATGAATGAAATTAAAATTCGGGTCACCGACTAACTCATAGCCCACACAATCTCTTGAGCTAAGAAAGTATTTCTAAAAAGTCCACTTCTAAGTGGATGAAAGGAACATTTTTGCTTTCTTCAACGTTTTTGTAATACACTGTCTAAGTGGGAAACGGAGAGTTCATATTTTGCTAACTATATTTCTATACCAATTTTATTCTCTTATTTTTTTTGTCATAAGTTCCAATATTGGAGTAAAGCAAAATATGTTATATCAAAAAAATGTCAGGTAAAATTT